TTGAATGTGCTCTCTGTGTTGCTTCGCTGAAGATACACATCTACCTCTCCTTCGATTAAAAATAATGGCTAGTGTGATGGTTGCGATATAGTAAACCTACCAACACTCGTCGCTAGGACTTATCGTGAGAGGAAAAAATTACGTTTTAGTCACATAACATCGGTTGATGGAAAAAACGACATTTCGCAATAGTTTTTATATCAACATTTATAAAATGTCGCAAACTACTTAATTTTTTCGCCAAGCCAATACACGAGTTCCATTTGGCATTGTTTACATTCAGTGCTGGCAACATGGCTGACTTCTGGATTGGTGACGTGTCGTTAAAACACCCTATAAAAAATATGAAGTCAGGACAAGTCGGTATGGGCTGAATAAAGCAAACCAGTATCTCACCAATAAAGTTTAGATGGATGATGATTGTAATGGAGGTAAAGACGATTACAGTGACATAGAGCAATCGTACACTATTAGACGTGCAAGTCCATTATTATTAGGCCTAATGTGTAAACAAACAGACTGTGAATGTGTGCTCTTTGTTAGCTTTTTGCATGAGCACATTTCAGTATGGTAGCATGTCTGGCGTGTTTTTATAATGGACCCTCGCTGAAGAAGCGTGTTTTTAACGGAGTTTGCAATGGCCAGTGGTGTTTATGTAGACACAGACACGAACACTCACTCTGACAGAGGAACTGTTCACTGGTGATGTCGAGCCGCCTTCAGATCGCCACATTTGACAAATTCAGAATGTTTTTATTTGCTTTTTTAATTTGTGTTTTCCTCCGTTTAATAATTCTGAATGGATCCGTATATATCTATACTGTATATACAGTCAGGTTAAGGCAACTGGTATAGCATCTGTTGGCATCTCCATGTGGTCCTGTTTGATAGTGCAGCTTGACTTATATATATATATATATATATATATATATATATATACAGTATGTATAAAAAATTCACTAAACAAATTACCAGAAAAAAAACAGGTGTCCCTTTACACCGGACCAGTACCTCAACTGAAGGCTTCAACTGAAGCCTACGTTGTTCTAGAGGCAATTCTCCCATTTCAACTTGTAATTATACCACCAGAGAAGTTCTAAATGCTCCACAACAAATTCAGATTGCAGTGCCTGCACAACAAAGAGGTTTGTATTACCTCTATCTTTTTAAAGGGTTAGTTCACCCAAAAATGCAAATTAGCCTGTGTTTTACTCACCCTCGAAGCATCCTAGGTGTATGTGACTTTTTTCTTTCAGACGAATCCAATTGGAGTTATATTACAAATTGTCCTAGCCCCTCCAAGCCTTATAATGGGGGTAAGTGACTTTCTTCTTTCAGACGAATCCAATTGGAGTTATATTAAAATTATCCTGGCCCCTCCAAGCCTATCAATGGGGGTATGCAGGTGTTTGTTATAAACAGTTCAGAAGACATGACATAAAGCATCCGTAATCAAATGTAACATTTATTTTTTCCTCACAGTTTTTGGGGTTGCGCTGTATACATAAATTGTGAATTATGAAAATTTTAAAATGTTTTAATTTATCTTGAAAAATGATTGCAGGAAATATAGTTTTGTGGGAATCATCCTCAATCTTGAATTTGGTAAAACAATTAATATTATATGTTTCAAGTCTTAATACTTTTCCTTTTGTTATACTGGGATCAATCATACTGGGATGTATGCTAAAATTGTTGGATGTGGCGCCCTACCTAGAAAATTTTCCACCAGCTGCCGCTGTTTGTAAATCAATCATAGGGAACATCCAAGGGGGAATTGCTGGTATAGCAACAGAAGGGGCAAGGACTTTCAATCCCAAGCTGTTTGCCTCATTCCTTACTACCCAACCAAAGCTTGCTATTTCTTTGTACTTATATTCCCAATAATCTTTCAGAAGTAACTTTAACTTTATTGTCCCCAAGGGGGACATTATTTTCCACAGCACTGCACTTGTTTAACACACACAACATAACCAACATAATACAAAAAAAAGAACAGTTAAGATAACACTCAGCGATGTTCTATGAGGTTGGGTGTTGGAAGACCTATAACTTTCGCAGCAATATTGGACACCTTTGTGAGTTTGGTCCGGTTTTTAACAAAAGAGCATGTTGAAAAAACAGATAGAACAATACAACAGAATTGGCTGACTAATGCTTTGATAAAGTAGCAATAATAATCAAGGAGCAACATTAAGTCCTTTGAGTTTATGAATGACTGATAGTCTTTGGTGACTTCTTTTCTGAATGTCCGTAATGTGCTGATCAAAGGTAAGTGTGTTGTCCAATGTTACTCCAAGATATTTGAAACTGTCCACTGTTTCAGCTGTTTGAAAATGAATAACAATAGGGTGCTGGGGTGAAGGGGGACTGACTATCAGCTCTTTTGTCTTGCTGACATTGAGATTCAGGTGGTTATCCTCACACCACTGGGCAAAGTGCATGACAGTGGTGTGATAGTCCATAATGGAGTTATTGTCTTTGAGCAGGGCAAGAATGGCTGTGTCTTCAGAATATTTTAAGTATTTTATGCTGGGTGACGGGCTAATGTTGTCGTTTGTGTAAAGTGTATACAAGAAAGGACTTAACACACAGCCCTGCGGTAGTCTAACTGGATGGCTTTCCAGGTGTCCCTTTACACCGGACCAGTACCTCAACTGAAGGCCTCAACTGAAGCCTACGTTGTTCTAGAGGCAATTTTCCCATTTCAGCTTGTAATTATACCACCATAGAAGTTCTAAATGCTCCACAACAAATTCAGATTGCAGTGCCTGCACAACAAAGAGGTTTGTATTACCTCTATCTTTTTAAAGGGTTAGTTCACCCAAAAATTTAAATTAGCCTGTGTTTTACTCACCCTCGAAGCATCCTAGGTGTATGTGACTTTCTTGTTTCAGACGAATCCAATCGAAGTTATATTAAAATTATCCTGCCCCTCCAAGCCTATCAATGGGGGTATGCAGGTGTTTGTTATAAACAGTTCAGAAGACGTGAAATAAAGCATTCGTAATAAAACGTCCCTCACACGGCTCCGGGGGGTGAATAAAGGCCTCCTGCGAATCCATGCGCAATGCGCAAGAAACAAAGTTTCCTTACTTCAGCAAAGGAAAACCAGTCTCCTCTTGGCTTATATTGAAATCCTCCGACATTTTTCTTTACAAATCCTCGTTTTGTGCTTCTAATTTGTGAACGGCGTGTTGTTTTGTTTTCTCTCCACGCTTGTCACTAATCACACAACACCGACGTCCTACGTCATCCGCCGGAAAGCCTTCCGCATATGACAGATGGCAGAACTGATAAAAAAAGTGTTTATTACGTTTGAAATATGGATATTTTTCTTACGAAAACGCATGGATTTGCTACAGGAGGCCTTTATTCATGCCCCGGAGCCGTGTGAGGGACGTTTTATTACGGATGCGCGCACTTTATTTCACATCTTCTGAACTGTTGACAACAAACACTCGCTTACCCCCATTGAAAGGCTTGGAGGGGCCAGGACAATTTTTTATATAACTCTGATTGGATTTGTCTGAAAGAAGAAAGTCACATACACCCAGGATGCTTCAAGGGTGAGTAAAACACTAATTTTCATTTTAGGGTGAACTAACCCCTTAAATAAGTTTTTGTTCGCAGAACCTAATCACTGCACAATAAATTATTTTCAGTGAGTGACAGCTTGCCCCCCAGTCAGCTCCTCATAACACCTTAATACATTTATTCCTTTTTTGCATTTTTCTACCAATTTCTGAATATGAATTCTAAAGTTTAATTTAGAGTCCATCCACATAGAAATATACTACTGTACATTTACTTGTTCCAACTGATGACCATACATTTTGATATTCAAGATAGGATTATTTTTCTTATTGTGTTTTTGCCACCGAAAACCCCAACTATTCGCCCATTTCTCCACCTCATTCACAGCATTTTGCATTTTATTTTCTACAAATTAAACATTGTGCCCCGTTTTCCATAATGCTCCGTCATCTGCATACAATGATCTTCATATTCCAGTATCAATGTTATGAAAGATTAAATTAAAAAGAATAGGGCTGCTCACACTTCCCTGGGGAGCTCCATTCTCAATTGGGAGAATCCGAGAATAAGTGGACCGCAGATCGTTCTTCCAAACAAGAAACTCAAAATCCAGTTATACATTTTTCCATCAATTCCCAAGCTTATCAGTTTCATTAAAAGCCCCTCTTTCCACAACATATCATAAGCTTTTTCTACATCGAAAAAGACTCCCACTAAAACCTCTTTGTTAATTTGAGCCTTTCAAATTTCAGCTTCCAAACACAAGATTGAATCCATATATTTGCCCTTTTCGAAATCCACAGTGACATGCTGAAAAAATGTTTCTGCTCTCGATTACATAAGTCAACCGGTTCATAACCATTCTTTCCATAAGTCTGCATAAGTTTGATGTCAATGCGATATGTCTATTCTAATAAGTATAATTGCTGCAACTGGTATCAAAACCGCTCTGATTCAAAGTCACTGATGAAAAGTCCGACTCATTTGCGCGAATCGGTTCTTTGGAACAGTTCGATTCAAACAAACGGTTACATATCGGCACGGCTTTCGTTTAAGATTTATAAATAAGCTTTTAATAATAACGCAGTAGTTTTACTTAATCTAACGCATCCAGTTCAGTTTGTTTTTGCAATTTGCAGCCAAGATTCATAAAAACAGTAATTTAGGATTCAAAAACAACTTTACAATACAAAATACTAAAGTTCATATAATTCTGCTAAAAAAGTTTTGCTATTTTGAATACAATGCTATGAATAAAACCAATTCCACTTGGCTTCACGCTTTCAGTTTATGCGAATCGGACCTTCTGAAATGAGCTCGGTTCAATGAGTCGGTGAGTCATTTGAGAAACAATTTGACTGATTCGTGAATGAATCATTCAGACCGGTTTCGTGAACTGGTTCGATCGCTTTATTACAAAATCCGACTCAGAAGACTGAATCGTTGAGGAACCATACAGAACTGCATATGGTGCATTTTGAATTCAAACAACTGGTCCTGCTCTCACTGCGCCCACACCTCAACCCCCTACCGCCGCTCGCGCCAATGATGTAATACTATTTTAACGGCTGGGGGCGCGGCTGTAACCGGCAGCTCCGCCCTTCGAGCTAATAGCGATCGGGCATAGAGAACTCCAGCCGCCTGTGGACTGTGGGAGGATCTAACGGCAGCGCTCCGCTCCTCCACGGCCAGCCAAACACTTGAACACACACTGCGCCAAGCAAAAACGAAACCTTCAGTTTTGAAACTTCAGTTTGATAAGAAGGTAAGAGTTTATTTTGAAAGCATTGAGGGTTATTAGTAGTTCTGATTAGACCGTGGATAAAGGAAGAGCCCTTTACGGCTCAACACTTCTGCAGGGAGAAAAGAAGTAGGTGTTGGCTTCAGAAAAGCGTCTTTAATGAAGCTCAACAACTTGACGAGTTTCTTAAAAATTCTGGAAAACATACAAACCAACAGATCTAGTTGTGATCTATTAGGACACAAAGGCGTCGCCGAAGTTGCGGCGTGTTTCGCGGTGGTCACTACTTGTTTTCACGCGCAGCTCGGTAGCGCAGTGTTTGTTTTTGACCACAGCACTGGATTCAGATGAATTTGGCTTGGGAGGCAACACCCCTGTTGAACATCTCACATCGTTGTGTTTAGGTCCATGAGGTCGTAGTTCAGTTAAGAAACGCAAACATTACACTGTAACACGCTCATAAAGGCCCATAGATTCGCGTTCATGAAAGACCGCGCCTCGAAATAGAACTACTAACGTGAAGTTTCAGCGTAGTGCGTGTTCATGTTACACATTTGTGCGCTGACGAATGTTTCATCCCAAAAATTGTTTTTTCTTTTTATTAATTTTGGGTCAATGACGTGATGGTCATTTATTTTAAAAGGATATGTTAAATGGGCATTTAAGTTGTTATTAATTGCAAAAGTGTTACACATAACATTTAAGTAATATGATATGATTAAAATGTACACTCACGTGAGATGAAAACTTAAGTCTTCGAGAGAAAAAAAAATGTATTCGACACGGAGCAAGTCGCCTCCTGAACGCCGCCTTGTCGAAGTCACATGACAAGTAACTTAATGTCCATTATATGGATGTTGGTGGCTTAGGAATTTTTGAAAGAAAGGAAATGCTGGAGTAATTATTTGGAATTATTCTTTCTGTCATAAGATAATTAGTAAAATGATTAATGTAATTTTAAATTAAATATTCATAAATAAAAATAATTATATTTACATTAATTGTTTGAATAATTATGTTTGAAAACTTAATTGAAACTGAGTAATAAAGTTTAATTTTAATTACTTTTAGATACTGTATGCTTGATGGTTACACCACTTAAATGTATTAAGTTTAATTGTTTTTTAGAAAACAGAATCAATGTTTTTGAAAAAATGATGAAACCATCACAAATATAAACAACTTTCTGTAATCCAGGATTTCCTCGTTTGTCATTGACCCAAGTGTGTTTTGAACAGAAACATCTGGTCATGGTCTGTTTTGTAGGCTAATGAAAGCGAAATGTTCATTTCAAAACTTGTTAGACAGGAATGATTCAGGTGTTTGTGTTTAAAGCAGTGACTCCCTCACTGTGTTTGGGAAGGAAGAGGACACATTTCAGCAGGAATTTCCGAGCTATTCTCTCTGAAAAAGACCACCACCATGTTAGGACAACGTTTACTTCTCCAGGTCTCAATGGCTGTGGCACAAAACGTATTGAGCTGCCTACCTAGACAGATTTTTTTGTGCCTACTGAGGACTGTAATATTCACTGTATATACTGAAAGAGCATGACTCACTGCTTATCTATCTACCATTTTTTAATCTGATGAGTTTGACTCTGATAAACTGACGCAGAAAAGGATTGGAGGGTCTGGAAAGCACTAGTCTCTCTTGATCAGAATGTGTAAGTATACCAGTCATAGGAGGCTGCATCTGCTGTGCCACCTCAGCATTGCCAACAGGTGTGGGCCCGCAGCCACACCACTCTCTGAGAGGTGCAGGTCGATATCTGGGTCATTATTCAGCTCACTGTCTAAAACATCAAAGTGAGGTGCACTGGTTTGATTCGGAAGCAGCCTTCAGTGCTTTAGTGGGCACTAAGCCACAAATAACATTAGTGATGCAAACACTGCACATGCTTAATAATTGCAAAATAATCAAAACAGAACTGACGTTTTATCTGAAAATGAATTATTAAATGTGTTTAACAGACTGGGAGGTTTGTTTGTTTACATTTATCTTACATAAGCAGAATGTTTTTAAGGGTGGTTTCCTGCTTGCTAAAATCAAGTAGATGTCCTGGAGGGGCGTCTGTATGCTGTTGGTTCCTCTGGGCTGTTTTCTGCTCCTGTGGTATCAGATATTTGTAAAGTAGAGGAAATTAGAGCATCCACCAGCAAGGACATCGATTGTTAAACAGCTCTTGGTTCTTTCTCATCCCGTCCCCCTCTGGATTCCTTGCTCTGTCTCTTTAACCACCAAGCGGTCCTTGACCTGAATAAGGTTGAAAACCCTTGATCTCACAAAGGTCAGCATTAATACAGCTGGATTCCCATGTGTCGTTCTGCTGGAAAAGGAAAGCAGATTCTTTATGCCGGAAATAAGAGTATTTAGAATTTTAGATGATTTCGGGTTTTTTTTTTACGACACCACTCACTGTAAAAACATAGAGAAGCGGACATGTCCCAACTAGTAGCTGCTACTTTTTGCTCACTTTCTGACTGCTTAAAGATCAGTTTGTACTGTAGTGTGCATTGTCACTAATTTTGAGTGATTGTCCATGGAAAGCTGTTTTCAGGTCAGTGTTAGCCCTCTGGGCTACAGTCCATTTACTCTCTGATGGCGACCTGATCGTGTGAGAAAGAGGGGAAAAAAGAGTAGAGTAGAGGAGGAGGAAGAGGAAGAGAGGACGGTCTTTAATTAGGACACCCTCTTTTTCTCCTCTCCAACTCCCCCTCTCTCTAAGAACAAACATTCAAGTAGGTCAGACCCTTCTGCTTTTTCTGTCCTTTTAGTTTGGAGAAATCTGTCCATTCTGTTTTGCTATGCTGAGGCTTTTTTTTTTCTTTCTTTCTTTGTAAGTTGAAATCAGAGACGCACTCACCGCCTAGAAATGCGCAGTCATTATTTACAACGATGTGATATTAATCATTGTTTCTTTTAAACTTAAGCACTTTATTTAAATTTGTGAGATATTTGTTTCTGATTTCCTGCCTTGATGTGTCAGATACACAGGAAGTGTTTCCTCTCTCAGTGTGATAAGGAAGCCAAACAGCTGCGAGGCCTCAGGAGGCCTTTAAATTAGAGTTTAATCTTCTGTGCTCTTCTGTCATTGGAGAATCCGATCTTAGGATCCGCTGCTGCTCCACAGAAGCATGAGGCAGTTGTGTGCTTGTGTCTGGCGTTTGCTGTTGATTGGCTATCACCAATTCCAGATTTTGCGAAGTAGACTGCTATTTGGGAATATTATGAAAAGTTATAAGCTATGAACCAAGGTGAATCACAACATTACAAACTTAGATTTTAACCAAATAAGTATTTGAAATTTGAGAAAGAAGAAAAAGATACAAGACTGTGTATAGGGATGTAACGATTCACTCAACTCACGATTCGATTAGATTCACGATTTTGATTTCACAGTTCGATTTTCTCACGATTTTTTTAACAAAATGAGATTGAAGACATTATACAGTAAATTAAAGGGTGTCATTTTATTAGGCTATTGCTGCACGCTTCTTTGTGAAATTGAAATATAACAAAACAAAATTGAAATTTTAAAACAAACCCCAAATCAAACAAGTTACACAAATAAAAGAAATCTCTTACTATGAACAAACTAAGGCTTTTGTCTGTGCTCTTTCCATTTAAAATTAGAGGCAACCACTGGATTTTAATCATGTTCCAAACAAAGATGCAGCATATGCAGCATGAGTAGTTTTTAATCTAAATTAGACTGTATAATTTCTAAATTTGAAGCAAAAACAGAATGGTCTGACTTTAGTTTTGTGAAACTATACTACATAAAACACATCTGATCGAAACAGCAGACGAGCTGAAAGAGACGCAGATTCACTCTCTGACAGCAGGTGGTGCTTATGAACAGCAATGATACAGTGTTTCCTGGGTTACCGCTGTAAACAAAGCAGAGCTGCACTTATGAACACTACTTTAATATGCATTGTTCAGAGGCAAGATGAAAAGAAAATGCCACGTAAACTTTTCTAATGATAGTCAGTTCCCCTCAGAGATACATTCATATAAACTCCTACTAAATTGTATCGCGATTTGTTTGGCATCTCAACTGATTTGAATAGTCACATATTTGAATCGATGTTCAATCAGCTCACGATTAATCGTTACATCCCTAGTACTTAACGGTCCTAAAAAGCATTTAAAATTACATAAACAATTTAAAAACAATGGATAAATATAAAACTATCTATTTAAAGTTGTGATTATAGAAACAATATATTTTACATTTATTTGAATATATGTTTACATCGTTTAATAACGAAGGGATTTTAGGTGTGTTCGACTTGAAGCGGCGCTGTGCAGATCGATCGCTGTATGACATCAAAGTACCATGAGAGCAATTAGACATCAGACACCTCTTTTTATTCTTTCGAATCGCTCTTGCAGTACTTTGATGTCATACAGCGATCGGTCTGCACAGCGCCGCTTCAAGTCGAACATACCTATTGATTATCATGTCATTCTCAGTGCATGATGGGAGCAGTTTTTGGGCATGATTTGCTTGTCGAGATTCTCCGCCTGGTGGAAATTTCTTTGCAGAATCATGGGTAATGTAGTTTTTCACCAGGAATTCCACTATTAAATGCCATTACTTAAAAATAAGTTGAAAAAATGGAGGCTGATGGCTTCAACAAAAGTGTACTCCATTGATAAACGACTTTGTAGATCACAGTAGGTTTGTCTTTAATGGTTTATAAGTTATTGGGGAAAAAAAAGGTTCAGTGTTATTTTCACAATGTTTTGTGTAGCAGATGTTCAGTATCCCACACATCGAATCATAAACTCAGGTGTAATCTCTGTTATCTTTTTATTCTACAGAGACTTCATACCCTTAGCTTCCAAGACTTTTGTTTGCCAGGCAAATTACATGCATTAAAAGCACAACCAATGACAAACACCACTGAAGAACCACACTTTTTGGGGATATTTTTAAATGAATGGCTTACTTTGATATGATGAAGCATTTTAACAAAGAAATTTTAATTTAGAGAAAAATGTGTCTGTTAAAT